ATTAAGTTGCAAGATCTCAAGTTGAAAGACTAACTTTAGATGGCAAATTTGAAGACTTTGATTTGTTACTGAGTTAATAAATGCAAATAACAGAATAAACAAATGTAGCATGGGTGTAAGACTAGTGGTGAGACTCAAACACGAATTCTATTAGCCAATGTTGTAGGGATGCTACAAGAAGCAGTTATTCATAACTTAGTTCCACCATCTATTTTGAGGGTATTCCTCTTGGACTTTCATCATTGCACTATTTTATAGCTTTCAACTCATATCTCTATATGGTATCCGAACCAAGTATAGTGACGACTAGTGTCCTCAAAATATATGGATAAACAAATCTCTTTGTTAAAAATCACTCTCTCGAGTCGATCCCCATATCATTCAAGTTGGTGTGTGTTCTAGGTAGTTCATCTCTGAATCTACCGCACTTTAACACTTTAACAAGTGACCAACTCGTCGAGAATTAATTGTTTTAAAAGATATAAATGACAAGTCTCCTTGTCGGCAATTTTCTCAAGTCTACCTCTTATATCATTCAAGTTGACGTGCATTCAATGGCTTATCTCTAAGACCATGGCACTTTAACACTTTCAAAGTAATCAACTCGTCAAAAAGTGTCTTTGGTTTTTATAAAAACTTGAATGAAATAATGGAACGTCGTTATTACAAACAATAACTACTTTCTTTCTGTTTAAAATCTCACATTTTCGTCTCACACCTAAGCTATGAATTTAGCCACTCATAACGGAAAGTAAATGACAAATAAAATAAATAACGAAAAGTAAAGACATAAATATAAATTGAGTAAAGTAAATGACGTAAAGTAAATAGCGGAAAAATAAAAGAGCGGAAAGTAAATAACGAAAATTAAATGATAGAAAGTAAAGAGCAATCTTAAAAACAATTAGGAAACTTAAATTTCTTCAAAGTTTAGAGAAAGAAACCAGCTTTTAGCAGCTGATTTTTCGATGGATTAACAAGAGTCTCCTCACCCCTATTTATACAAAAACAAGTCACAAAGTGACAAAATGGAGAACCAATGGGTAAAACCACAAAAAAAGTAACTAGGAAGTACATCTATGAACTAGTTAGTTACACCTTTTCAAACAAAAGTTTGATAATTTTTACATCAAAAGTCAGCAACTCAGAATCTTCTAGAATCCGAAAAGAACTAGCAGTTTATCCCATTAAGATCTTCAATAAGGCAAAAAACATCAAGTCGTTGTTGCATCAATGTTGTAGCGTCAAACAGTTCAGCAATTTTTTACATTAGACTCCACTTGGTGTAGAAACAAGTAAACCACATGATTTAGCTCCATAATAAAAAGAAAAATAAGGTAATAAAATGACTCAATATAGGGATAAAAGAAAAACAACCTAGCTAAGAACTTGTAAAATGAGTGCTCTATACATTGAATTTTTAATGTATTACACGGGGTATTTTAAATGAGGAAAATGAGTTGAGACTTTTCCTCGGGTCGAAAAGAAAACTCTGAACATTAACTCTAAAACACAATAATTCAGAGTTCTATTGTTAGGATGGAAAATAACTCTGGACTTAACTCTGAATAAGAGGAATTCATGGTTATCTTCTAAGTCTAGAAAGTATCTATGAGCATAACTTTGAGTCACAAGAATTTTGACTTCTTATAACTCATAAACGTAACTCTGAACTTCAACTCTGAAGAGGAGTTCAGAGTTGTATTCTAAGTCTGGGAATAAACTATGGAACTAAGTCTGGAACAAAACAATTCAGAGTTGTGTTGTAAGTCTGAGTAACAACCAAATCTGACGACTTTCATGTTGGTGATTTGTATCATTAATGTCATTTAAGTGTAATGAGATTAATTTGTTGACCAATGTAATCATGATAAATATCGAACAAGTAAGGAAGGTGCATAGTGCACATTTGTTTGAGTTTAATTTGATTTAGGGGCGAAGCCCCTAAATGACGGGGGTCCGGGGGGCAGCGCCCCCGGTGGCTAGGTCCAAGGGGCAGAGCCCCTGGCTGGGGTCGAATTTGAAAAATGCTTTGTGAAAAATGCTTCAAAAATCCGAATTTGAAATTTTAAATAGGGTTTTGATGACCACTCCAGAGTTAAATTCAGACTTACAACTCTGAATTTTCCCAGAGTTCTCATGCAGAAGACATCAAGAGACAGAGCTCTTACTCAAGAGTTAAATGTCTCATATACAAAGCCCGTGTTGTATTCCAAAGAAGATCAAGGCTTAAACGCCAAAAAGGTTAAGTGCTTGATGCAAAGCTTCACTCCAGACACAGAGCCTCTGCATAGTACATGTAGAGCATCGATTTGACTCGTGTTTTCATTCTAGTAAGAGTCTGTCTTATTTACACTTAGGGAGAGATTGTTATACCCATCTTGTAAAAGTGTAAGTAAGAAGTCTCTTACTATAACCGCAAGGGTGGTGTCTAATTGGTTTGAGCTTGACTCCAAAGGTCAAAAGTACCAAGAGGTCACAGGTTCAAATCCAAGGAGGAATAAAAATCCCCTTGTGTTCACGGAGGTTCAAATGCGGTGACTTCGGGCTATCTGCAAAGCAGGTGGTCGCCCTGGGATTAGTCGGTTCGCATAGCGAGTTGGATATCCAGGTTAATAAAAAAAAAGGTCTCTTACTATAGTCTTTAGGACTTAGTCTTTTGAAGCGAGCTGGACCAAGAGCTCTCATGCAGAAGACATCAAGAGACAGTGCTCTTACTCAAGAGTTAAGTGTCTCATATATAGAACCCGTGTTGTATTCCAAGGAAGATCAAGGCTTAAATGCCAAAAGGGTTAAGTGCTTGATGCAGAGCTTCACTCCAGACACAGAGCCTCTGCATAATACATGCAAAGCCTCGATTTGACTCGTGTTTTCATTCTTGTAAGAGTCTGTCTTATTTACACTTAGGGGAAGATTGTTATACCCCATCTTGTAAAATTGTAAGTAAGAAGTCTTTTACTGTAGTCTTTAAGACTTAGTTTTTTGAAGCGGGCTAGACCAAGAGCTCTCATGTAGAAGACATCAAGATACAGAGCTCTTACTGGAATGAAAACACGAGTCAAATCGAGTCAAAGTTGGAATTTTCAATTGTCAAGTTATTATCCGATCATTCTCAAAAAAACGTCACAGAACCTGGTGAAGTGGGGAAATTTGGGACGTGACACATGATAAATTCATTCTTAAGCATTTGTGTTGTAATGTGATGTTCAAGCACAAACCCAATGAAATGCCTTAGAATAACTCCCCTTTGTATTAACAAATAAAAAGAATGCATTTAGGGACTGTTTACCTATATATTTACCTGGTAAATGTTTACCGGTTAAATTTATCATGATCGCTTACCTTACCGGGTAAGATTTTAGTCCATTAAAATGGCATCGCACGCAAAAATTTAAGCGACAAGAGCTGACCGGGTAAGAGCCGTCGCGCTCACTTACCGGGTAAGATTCTCGGTCATTACCTATTTACCTTTGCTCTTACTGGGTAAGATTTTTGGTCCTTACCATATTCATTGATTAAGGTAATATAACTTAGGGGTCGTTTACTAAACACTTACTTGGTAAGTGTTTAATAAATTTCTTCATCAGATGAACATGAGAAGGGCCAAGAATCTTAACTGGTAAGAGCGATGAGAAGGTTGGAGAGTCTTATCCGGTAAGAGTGATGAGAAGGATGAAGAGTTTTACCGGTAAGTGAGAATGACGACAACTCTTACCCAGATAAGCGCTTACCTAATAAATTGTTGCATTCGATATACTTTGATGTACTAAAATCTTACGCATCTAAATAAATTATAGTATTGACTCTTATTGGTAAGCGCTTACCGGATAAGCATTTGAGTAAATGGCCCATTAATAAACACTTAACAAGGTAAGCGTTTAGTTAACACCCTTAGTATTTGTTAGACTTGTCATTTGCATCACCAACAAGGCAACAACTAAACAAATCTTTCCACCAATGTTTTTCTCACAAATAAAGTGTTTCACTCAAAATTTCTTTCAAGTTAAAGGTAATGTATAGGAGGCATATTTGGGAGTAGTGCTAAATAATTTCTTAGTCTCAAATTTCAAGGCTGTTTGGTTAAAATTATTAAACAGTAATCAATGAAAATAGTAATAAAGGAACAGTTTAATTTTATATAATATAGTAGATTCATTCCTCCAAAAATCCAAATTTTCATTTTAAGTTTAAATTAAGGAATGAAAAGTCATTTCCTTTTGTTTTTATTTTTACTTTCGTTCCCCAAATATATTTTTAATCATATAATGTAACAAAAAGTTTGAATCTTTGTAAAACTTGAACTAATATTTCATAATACTATATACAAATAAAACCATTGAAAAGATGTCAAATTTGAAAATTTTAATTAAAGAAACCATTAAAATTCAGGTTCTGTAGTTCATAATTTGAAGGGTTGAAACTCATGGATTTAGATAGATTTGATCTGATCTAATTCAACTAACATTGGATATTTAATCCGATCCAATCCAATGGATTATTGGATTAAATTGGTATTGGATATTATTTCTGATCCAGTTTTCAACAAATTAATCCTCCATTTCCAACCCAATTATTCATGTACTTTTAAGTTATCAAAGAAACACCATATAAAAATATCAACTACAAAGTAAAATGTTAATAATTATATACAGTTATTAATTGAATGGTAGTAGAATTATCATCCAAAAACAGCTAATCTAATTTAAACGATAAAGTTTTGGATCCAATTACAATTAAATATCCAAGTATGGTAGATTGGTTTAAATCGAATCTGATGCCTTTGTTCACACCTCTAGCTCATATAATATTTATAAAATTACACATTCACCCACCAATTACATTCAACAATAAGATAAATAAAAACATTTTTGTAAAAATGACATTATCTTTCCATTCTTTCCCCAATCAAGAACATAAAAATGTTCAGAAAAACGAAGACCAATCCAAATCCACATCCAGTTACGGAACCAACCGATTAACCGGCACTCATTTGTCACTAAGTTAACAAGTCGTTGGCGAAAGTAAATTAGAAAAATAGACAGCAAGCAAAACAATCTTAACATTACAGTCTCTTTCAAAACAAAAATGCACAAACACATCCTTTTGTCTTTATTACAATTCTAGTTCTTCCCATAATTCAAAAATAATTTCTCAAAAACTCAACTTCAACCTCTCACCGCGAGAACCTCGATGACGACCAACTCTTTGCAGCACCACTGTTACCACCGAATGAAGGTCGCCATTTGTCGCTTGGTGGGGCACCACGATCATCTGCCACCTTTCCACTCCCCCACCTATCAGACTGCACCGATGCTGCTGGAGACGCTGCCGCCGGCTCTGCTGGCCCACTTCTACGGAACTTTGGCACATACTTCCCACCAGCAGAGCCTGAAGCAGCAGCTGCTGCCGCTGGAGCCGCCGCCGCCGCTGCTGCTGGAGCCGCTGCTGCCGCTGGATGTTCAGAAGGCCTGGTTGGTCCATCAATCGGTGTTCCCCTTAAGATAGCTTCCTTCCTAAGCCTCTCTCTTTCTTCCAGTTCCTGTTCTCTTTTCCTCTGTCTTTCTGCAATTTCATCCAGTTTTGCCCTACGTTCCGCTTCCTCTTTCTTTCTCCTTTCAGCCTCTGCACATCACAAATAAACCAAACGTATCAATCTCTGCCCTTAAGATAAGCTTTAAAAGCATTAACGGGCCATGAAATAAAGGAATCTTGATCGATAGTCTCCAAACAAATATTCAGACAAATGAATATGAACACTTGGAAGGTGGAAACTTTTATCATTGTACACGGTCATGACTCCTGCCACATTAGATTTTTCTTTCCTGCACGTTTTATAAACCTTCTACACCCAATCATGAACCGGTCCATTTTTTAGAATTAAGAATTAAATAACATGGTAAATTCATTTATTAAAATGACTCTGGGCCCCACACTCTTTTTTTCTCACAATGATATAAACCGGTTCTTTCCAAGCTAATGCAGCAATGTAGCGCTCCAAGACCCACCCATTGGAGACGCCCTTACAGAATCTGTTGGATCAAAAAGTTCTCCAAAATCTCCATTTACTCTATTTTAGAGAACAAACTGACGGTTGTATCATAACACAGATATCCATTTAGCAAAATATGGTATAAGCGGCTTCCGCCGAAAAACTCTTATGTCTGCAGAAAATGGTATAGGGGTAAATGTATTCTAGCTATTTTCAAATAGACCCGAATTGACGAATGGCTGAACTGTAAAGTTGGCCTATCTATATGTATGTGGCTATCTTTAGTGAGATCATACGAAGGGTATGTTATTAGTTTAGATCTAACCAATTTAATGAATTACTCCTAAAGGTTCACATCAAACTAGTGCTAGTTGATGCGAGTTACTTCGGAAACAAAAGGACTATTCATTTGGGGTATTCTCACAATTCCAAAAAAGCAACTGGATCATGTATAAGTTGTCAATCAGAACATATATGGATAGAACCTATATAACGTCCAAGGGTGACATAACCAAAATGAAAATCTTGAAAGCACTCTACACATAATAAGAATCTTGCATGCTCATACAATTTTGCCCGTTATATAATTGCAAACAAAATGGTTTATTTTGTTAATTATTTTCTTGAGAATACGAGGAAAAGGCATCTTGAAAACTATTTTGCCCATTATATAATTGCAAACAAAATGGTTTGTTTCGTTAATTCTTTTTCTTGAGAATACGATGAAATGCCATCTCGAAAACATTACCTTCACGTTTGCGAGCTTCCTCCTCCTCACGCAACCGGTTCAGCCTTTCCTCTTCAGTTTTCACATAGTACAACATTTTCCTCTTGATCTCTCTCTCCTCTTTTCGTGCCTTCATAATTTGGCTAAGTCGTTCCTCCCTCTCGGTTCTCATTCTGTTGTATGCCGCCTGGCGGCGGTTCACAACTCTTTCCTGAAATTCCATCTGCATGTGTGGTATGCCATAAACCATTTATACACAAAAAGTTTGAAGAGAAATTATTGCATGTATTGTTTAGCTAATTGACCACCAATTTCCCAGCTAAATGCTTGAGCCTTAAAAAAATTGAAACAAAAGAATAGAAGCTGCATGAATAATAGTTGTGTACCCATATGATGCATCAGATTGTTTAATTTTATTGTAAACCAATAATTAAAAAATTAATGTGTAGTTCTTTATTACAACGGTAATGCGAATTTGAGTTGTATGGAGTATTATGCCATATTAGTAGAGTTCACTGAATGTGCTTATCAATTGATATCATAGAGTTCAAGCATGGTGCTTTAAAAAGTTGAACCTTTGCAGTAAATAAGTTGTAAACTTGAATTTTAAGAACACGGTAAATACTTGAACATAGTAAAGATGATATCCTAAAAACAACATTTCCTGGATTGAGAGAGAATAGGTCTGAATGGACATCGGCCATATACCAACAAATTCAAGACATACCTTATGTTCTATAACCCGAGCAAGCCTATACTTCTCCTTCAGATCTCCATCATGACGCTCTCTGCTCAGCTCAACCTCAAGCTGCAAATATTCGCCCAATTATTAAAGATAATTAATCTAAAAATAGCAAAATAAGTCCATTTTCTTAATCTACATGCCTAATAATACCTGCTGTTCACGTTCATGAAGCAGTTTCTCTTCAGCTAAACGGCTTTGAAATGCAGCTTCAATCAGAGGGGCTGCCTCTTCCCTCTTTGCTCTTTCAAAGTGATCCATAGTTTTAATTAGTTTTTGCATTTTTTTTTCCATTTCCTGCCTCTCTCTAACTTGTTCTTGTAGCGCTAACTCCATCAAAGTTTGCTTTGTCACTTTCTCCTGAGAAGGAAAAACAATGGTCAACTCGGTCAAGGGGTGAAAATGGGAATTCAGAATAGAAACCACTTACCCCCTCAATGATTGGCTTCTTTCCTTTCTTTTTAATACGCTTTCCAACGTCATTTAGTAATGCTTGGGCTTCTTCACGCTCGCGCTCCTCAATTTCCCTAAGAATGCGTTGGTGCTTCCTTTCTTCAAATTCAGTTGCGAGCCTTTTCTGTTCTGCCTCTTCAGTTTTCTTCTGAAGCTTTAGTCTTTTTGTCTCCTCTTCTCGTTCCTTTAAAACACAAATAAAAATTTTAACCAATTGAAAAAATATAAACTCAAATGTAAAAATATAATTCAGACAGTGACTATACCATCTCAAGTAGGTGACGTTCCTGTTCCTCCTTGCGTTTCTCAATAATAGATTTCCGAGCAAGAAGCTTTTTGTGCTCTTTATCTACAATATCCGCCAAACTTGGCAGCATAGCACTCAATTTTGATGCTTTTGTTTGAGATGGATATATCATTGACCTTGATTTATTCAAGTTTACAGCCAAAACACTAAGGTGATCCTGCAGAATGTCTGATTCAAAGCCCTAGAAACAAAGAAAGAAAATATTAATCTATAAAGATTGAAACAAAAAACAAAAAGATAGAGCAACAAATAAAAAAATGGACTAACCAAGTCACCAAATATAATTGCACCCTTCATGTGGTCAACTTTCATAGCAATAAAATTATGTTTGACAGCATCAACAGATATCCTCTCCACAGATGGGAAGTCAAAAAAAGGAACCATTCTTGATAGAGTCTCAACTTTCATTGTCTGATACACTTGAGAGACCTGAAAAGGGAAAAAAAATTAAGCAAATTTATGTTACAAGTAAATACACCAAGCTGCAAACAATTTACACCCAATTATTTACCTGTTGCAGCAGTCTTAAGGTAGCTACTTTTTCCAAGGCAGGAATGTACTGAGACAGCTGCACTTCTGGTACAGAAGATGCTGAAGACAATTTGCCCCCAAGTTTTGCTATCTTTGCCAACAGAGGCTGTACCTTTGATGCCAAATCCAGAGGCAAAAACTCATTTTCCAAAAGATGGTAAAGATCCTTTACTTCCTGAGTTACATAGGTCATCACCCCTTTAGAAACCTGAAAAAGCAATGATGTTAGACAATTTACAAAAAGACAATTAACTTATTTTCATAAACGGCTTTTCACTCTCTTGTGCGCCATACATCTAACTGTTGAAATAAATTTAAAAAGATAACAGCTTATTTTAAATATTGAATAACATGTTGAGTTGCAAAAAAAAAACAAAATTATACTCTTTGCAACAAACATGATAGCAAATTACAAAAGGTTAAAATTTGTAAAACTAGAGCTCAGATTAAATATCTTTGCCATTTATTTTCCAATCCTAGATAACTATAGCATTTCCAATTCTCCAATTGAACTGTCATATTAGACGGAGTCCCCCTTGGCTTTGAAGACTTGAAAAGAACCCACTATAAGCACATCAAACACTCAAACTTCATACAGAATTGCTTTAAAAAGTAACTCAAAACAATCCAATACCAACTTTATGATCACAAATTTAGGTATAATCAAGTTATTTATCAATTATTTTCGTAATCAAGTCATACAAATGAGCCATAGAAGATTTTGGATATATGTTTGGGCGAAAAAATGCTCCATTTATTTTGAGAGTTCAAAACAAGATAAGTTGCAATTATTTTGAGAGATCACAAAAAAATTGTTGCATGTATTTTTAAAAAAAATAAGGAATTTAACTTGTAAAATGAAGATGCATAACTGGCGTCCAGAAGGTTTATAGTAGTTAAAACATGTAGAACCCACTAAACAATCAGTAGCTTCTGGAAATGTTATAAGACACAAAAATGAAACAGAAATGCATAAAACAAATGTAAAAGGGCACAAAAGCAGGATAACAACTTTAACAGTTTTAGGATAACATAAAAATGAACTTGATCTTACCAGATCAGCAAGAAGGGAAGACCGACAGAGCTGCAGGAAATAACAAATTTGTGAATGACAACAAATATATAAATAAACCAAGATGAAGTAGAAAAAGTTTCAAGATAGTGACTAATACCGCTTCTCTTGTCTCAAGCTTGACGTCAATATTAAACCCAATAAGATTGTACATTCTTAGATTTCGCTCTTTGTCATGTTCCAATTCCAAATGAGATGCACTTTTCAGGTGATCATAGGGAGGAGCTGAAAGTGCAGCTAACAGAACTGAAGATGCTATCAATTGCAGGTCTTTCTGGTTCAGGTTTTTATTGAAGCTCTTTTGAAGTTGGAAAAGCTTGAACCACGCATAAGCATGATATAAGTGGCTAGAAGAAATCCAGAAGATCTCAGTTAACTTTGCATAATATACAGCCATCAAGGAAGATTTCGGCATTTTCTTAACCATGCTCGTCAATCCATATATATCCTCTACTGAACGAAAGGCTTCCTGAAGATACAATCACACAAAAGACAGATTCCACAATTACATTTAGACAAATATATGTTTATGATATATTAATAACTAGCACAAACTAAGACAGACCTGCCATAGTTCAAGCTCAGTTGCAACTTTCAACTGCTCAAATCTTGTATCAAGATAAAAATGTAAACTTTCTGGTGCAGTCAGATCAGGCCTGTCCCTCTGGTCTCGGTACTTGTTTAGGTTTGCAAGATGATTCCTGATTATCTCACAGAGCCTGCGAAACTCGGTTGTCCTTTTGTATTGTTTGCAGAACTGGAAAGCACGATGTGCTGTATCCTGCATACAAGTAATCAAACATCATACACTGTTAATCCGGTGCTGACTCCTAAATGTGCAAGGTTCAATAAAGTCAAGTTCTAATTTAAAGTAACTATTTCCTCATGTAGCATTAAGAATTCATCTCAACTATATAGCCACTAAAACCTATCAATATGTGAGAAAGAGAACATTGTAAACTTAATATGATGGTCCGAACAGATAGAGAAAATATGCGAACAGAGTAATGCAGGGATAAACACTGCATCTGAAAAGCTGAAACACAAGATGTAACTAACTATCTATAAGTAATACTTACAAGATAATAAAATACAATATGAAAGGTATATTATGTGCAAATCACCCTTTCTTTCTTAAGAGAATAATCAAATTTACTGTCACATGGATTAACTTATTAGATATTAACAAAAGCAGTCAATGGAGTTCAAATTACATTGACCTCATGTGGAATCTAAATTTGCCAAGATAAAGAGAACAAACTTCTAATTCAGTGTCTCTTGTTAATAGCAAGTACGGGAAGCTAGCTGTTAACACATAGAGGGGATTTCCTTAAGATATTGAGTCTAAGTAAAGTACAAATTTTAAAATTAATGATAAAAAAGTAAACAGGAATTTCGTAGATACTTTCTGAAGATGCAAAACCAGAAAATAAGATTGTAAGCTTTAGCAGGACATCTTCAAGTTCCAATGCACAGGCTAGTATCAGAAAAAGAATTGGAGAACTTTGTTACATCGTTATTGAGTAAAGATTGAGATAAGATCATAAGAGTTACTAATGACCATTGGTCATTCATCCAAGGAAGGTGCAAGTGTAATGATTAAAGTGGAAAAAGTATAAGCAACATCCATATTACTCGAGTTACAGGACCATAAAGCAAAACGTACCGCATACAGGGCCATCAATTTAGAGTTGTTTCGCAGAATTTCAAGAACTGTTCTATATGTCTCCCACAAAAATTTAAACCATGGGGTCACAAGCTCCCTATCTGAACGATCCTTTCCCTTTTCACCACTAACATAGCTCAGCATTAGATCTTCTGGTCTTTTATCAGCTTCAAGGTCATCGACATCCAGAGCTTCTTCTAAAGCCTGTGCCTGACTTCGAGCCAACTCAGCCTTCTTGGTTGAAAGATCCATAAAGTGCTTTATGACTTCCTCTAAAGAATTAACATTAACTTGCTGACAAATTATGCGGTACTGGATCAGACCGTCTTTGGCAAATCTACCCCTCCTCATGTCAACACAAAGTTCAATGTACTTGAACATAATCTTTTCATGTGTTTTCTGCCATGCCCTGTACCTCTTTGATGTAATAAGATCATGAAGAGCTTGCAGTGCATCTTGTTTCTGTCCAACATTTATCAGTTCTGCAATCAAGCATCAATAAAGACGGGTTAGTCATATATGCATACATGATACACTTAAACTTCTATTACACGATCGTGCAGGAGGTTAACATATTTCCAAATTACATCCAGCCAAATTGCTCTCAGAGTTTGAGGATGCAAAATCAAAGCAGACTGACAATGCCATGCACTCAGTGGTGAAACAAAAAGATGAATAAGCAATGATGAAAATAGAGACTAGCATATGAAATCCACCATGTAAGCATGCAACAGGTTCTAATCTAGACAAACCAAATGCATGAAAAAACTGAAAACACATAGAAAAAAGGCAAGCGGACTTATCAGTGTCTTAGCGCGTCAAACAAAGCTAGATAGTCACTTGACCCAAAGGCTAGGTTAGAGAAACCAAATTCATTACGAACTGAAAGTAGAGATAGAGAATGCATAAACATACGGTTATGCATACGCATTTGCTATAAATATATGCGTTACATAATCAATTTTAGATTATGTAAACGTATGAAAATTTATTTAGATAAAAAGAACATGATCTGCCACCAAAGTATTTGCAAACAACATTTATCATCACCTTTGCTGCTCTATGCAATTACATATCGGCAGGTTGTCTTTCTGGAACTGTTTTTTTTTCTTTTTTTTTTCTATTTGTGTGAATGAATTATTTGATCAATTGTGACCCGGATGCAAATATTTTCAAAATCTACTTCCAACTACAGTCCACATATTTGGTATTTCAAAACTTACATACAACTATATAGTCGATTTGATATTTCAATTTGAAAATGCATTAATAATCAACACAACCATGCAGTCATACCGAAACCCTTCTTTTGTTTGATATAATATTTCATTTGGGTTTTTCCTTTTTGCCTGAAAAATCATGATAATTCACATTGAAGCTTTGCATTCAGTTATGAAAGTCATCTAGGTTGAGAAACCCCATGTGGATCTTTGTTCAAGTCAATTGAGTCTGAATTAGTTGCAGGGAACTTCATATTACCTACAAATCTCACCTCTAGAATGGGTAGAATATGAAGCTAATTAGTTGCTAATTGAAGGGTGCGAGAGATGCTTAACTCCTACGAAGCTAATTAAACAGCCCTAACTAATTAAAGAGGTAGAAAATGCTTAATGTCTAGGCAGCTTCTAAATGAGCACTTCTAAAACGCTAGATTAATCATCTTACATGTATTCATGTAATAGTTAAAAAAGCAAACGTTCATGATGATGGAAGCTCTATTTATACCATAAAAATAAAGAAGTATCGTACAGAAGTCTTTCTATCAGCAGGCAAGAAGAGTTATAAAGCTACAACAAATCAATGCCAACACACTCACCTTCAGCTCGTTTCAAAGCATTTTCCGGTTTAGCAAAAGTCGCCATGTTACTCCCAGGGGCCTTCTACAGGCTATCACAAAAAACAAATTATTAGTTTAAGCTGTTAACATTTGTTTGGCAATGAAATAGAATTATGCACAAATGGAAGCAGCACTAGCACTAAATAGTATGCAGCTACCTTGTTCTCTATCAAACACACTTATATGAGCAAGATATTAAAAACCGCAGATGCATTGATATTAACGCTCCTAAAACATTGAAATACTGAAATCTGAAAGGCGCAACTCATCAACAAACACACTTCCATCCCAAACAGAAGCCAAAGACGAATAAAGATTTTAAAAAGATTAAGGAATGAATCAATCATATACATTAGCACAAAGGTCTCCTATATCTAATAGAGAATCCACTGAGCATGGAAATATTTCAGCAAAAGGTATCGCTCTTTGAAAAAATATTCAGATCAAGCACGAATAATATTAAAAGTAGGCATTCGATCGGAAGATATATTGCATCGAATCACTCACCCTCTCTCGTCCCTTGAACAATAAAGAAGAAAATCAGAAATCCAATTTCAGACCACTGATAAGAGTACAATAATTCAATCTTCATATATCAACTCTAGTACTTCCCCATTAACGTAGAACAAATATCTACAGGAAAACAATCGTCCATCGATATACCTCAAATTGCATAAACTTTGCCGAAAAAAATACGATGTAATTAGCAACCGATCCAACAAAAAATGAACAGATCGATAACAACACCTTAGACTAAACAAACAAAAACAAGGAAACATAGCGAAGCTGAATAATACCTTAATCGTCTACGAAGATTAGCTGCCGCTATATCGAACAACGAAGTGTGCCCTTGATGTATCAAGGAGAAGTCCTATGCAGAATAGGAGAGTAGGGTTTTTGGCGAACTTTTCGTCAAAATGTAAAGTGTAACGTTCATCCGGCCGGCCTCAAGAAGTGAGTAGCCCACAGCCTCCGTTTTTACGCCTACAATGGGCCTAGCATTATCAGCCCATCACCAATTCATGTCGTATGTAAATATTTCAAATAAATTATATTAGGTGTGTGTTTGGAATTGTTTATAAAAATAATTTATTGATTTATTTTGTTGTGGTATAGGTAATAAATATTTTTGAGTATTTGGATAAACAATTTATATTGGTGCCAAATCGGTAATAAAAAGTTTTTGAAGAAGTTAAACTCTTCTGACTTATAATAAATTGATAAGTATTTTTATAGAAAAGCATAATTTGTTTCAAATAAACAATCCCAAACACTCCCTATATTATAAATAAAATTATAAAAAATCCAAAGAAATATCATATTTTGAATTATAAATCTTTAAATTTAAAAAAGAAATCCAACCTTCAACTTATTCAAACAGAACCCAACAAACTTTTAAAGTTTGAGCATATAAGTCTGGACATTTTTTAAACGAATAAATCATTATGCTTACAAAAATTAAAAAATATATATTATTTTTTTGGAAAAATTGCATCAAAATGAAATCAATTTTTATTTTTTTTCTATTTTGAGAAACAACTTTTAAAATCGTCATTTTAGGGTCTAAACCAAACTTTACATTTATTTAAAAGTTTGGTTTACTTATTTAATAGGTAACCGGTTACCTTTATATGATGTGGCATTATCAATTAAAAAAACTAGAAGGGTATTCGCGCAATGCAGCGAGATACATCTCGATTTTATTGTACTATTTTATTTTTTATCTCTGTTGATGTATAATATGATTTTATGTGTTTTTAAAAAAGCAATAATGATTTTATTTTTGAATAAAATATAATTTTGAAGATTTCATAAAAATTTGAAAAAAAAAATATATCAATGTTAATATCAAATCAACTATTTAAAAGTTCTATTTTTTACGTAATTTCTTTAATTTATTTTTTTATTATAA